TATATATACGTGTATATATATATATATATACTGTCTCTTATACACATCTAGATGTGTATAAGAGACAGAATTCACCCCCCTCAACTCACATGTGACTCTACCAACGTGATTTACATCATAATGTGTAATGCATGTGATCATGGCACCTACATCGGTGAAACTGGATCTTCTTTTAGAAGTAGATTTAATAATCACAAGTCATCTATCCGCACCCATAAGAACCTTCCTATAGCCACACATTTCAATTCCCTAACCATAACATCAATGATTTGAGATGTACACTCATAGCCAACAACTTTAAATCTCTAAACGATCGCCGCATTTCCGAACTTATTAAACACAAAACCCACACCATAGACCTTCATAGAAATATAGACTTTCTTAGTGATTACAACTTACCATACAATTGATTCTCACCATCTCTTTATTCTGTTCTATATTGATAGCTGATATGTGCTTTCGTTATTAACACCACTTTATTTTTATTTTTATATGTCTATTTATATGTATATATTATCTTTATCTGTACATTATATAGCCTATTTATAAGCATATAGGTTTATTTTTATTTTATTCATATATTCCATCATTTACACTTTAAGACTTCATAATCATTTACTTATTGTGTAGTTAAGTCCGCTTCCCACCATATTGTTGTTTATTGTAAAACAATAACAGGTCACCATCAAAATGTCCTTACTAGCTTGATTCTCCAGTCCTCATTATCAACGATAAGTAGTGCCATATAATTGAAAGAAACACTATAACCAATCTCATCAGAAACTTTTAATAAAACAAATAACATCACAACTTCAAAACAATTTAACAGTTATAAAGTTAAACCAAGAAAAGAGGAAATGAGAATAATTAAGAGTTAAGGTAAAACATAAAATATTGGCAATTAAGATTTAATAGGAAAACATACCATGGTGGCACCTCACTAGCTAGTGTTTGGTCCCCAGAGACGTAGAAAAGTATTTTTCATTGGGGGGATGATTAAAAATTCTTGGAATTGACATAAAATTACTGATGTCGTACACACCCTTCAGTGTGAAAATATGGCTTGCTTTGCAAGCACATCTAACTTCTAAGGAAAGAACAGCTTAGATTGGTACCAGATAAAATAATTTTGTTATCAACATTAATAAATTATGCTAATTTTCATCTTTCTAAGTGCATAAGACATTGCAAATTATTTCTGTGACAGTCCTTTGAAGTGTGTAAAGCTCCATTTTATTCCATAAATAGTCAAAATATTGGGGGGGGGGGGGAGAGATGATACAATGGACCATCCCCCTTGTCAAATATTGGGGGATATATCCCCCATCCACCCGGATCTACGCCTATGTTGGTCCCGGTAGATTAGAAGTACCTGATGCCAGAAAAGAATAAGACATAACCGGGGTAATAAACACGTGATGGCCATGCAGGGTAATAAACACGTGATGGCCAGGGGTAACCCCATACTTTGGTTTGGGTGCCATCTTCTTTTTTTTCTTTCCTGTTTTATTTATTCATTTTTTTTTAGTATTCTTACTTTTTGTAAAGCACATGGAGCTATATAAATATTGCTCCAAATATAAAAGAATCTAAAATCTTTTAAACTTTTAAATCCCTAATTTATCGGCGTTTCTGATTTTCCTTCTGGACTCCTCCCTTTAAGGGGGTTCTAGGCTAGCACCAAAAATTTGCCCACAAGGGGTCCGACATGTCTGACGGAGGGGTCTGAAACAAGGGGCCGACTAGAGCCTCTGTCGACGGCTCAGAACAAAAAAATCCCTGGGAGGTTCACTGGGAGAATTTGTATGGCTTAGTATGGTCCAAATTGTGCTTTCAGACCACAATATTAGTGATTAGCAATCAAGATAACATTATTTGGAGTGGCAAATTATATTTTTCTTTATTTTTGATCGGACAAGTGGGTCCAGACCCGTATGACAGGAGGGAAAATTCCCACACTGGTGCCACCACTGCGCCCCATCTATGTCATCGCCAGGAAAATTAGCATACTCATTGGGAAAAGTTTCTCCTGTGTGGATATCAGACTCCCGTCAGAGACATCGGAACCCAGTTGGGCAAATTCTGGCGCCACCACTGAAAATATACGCAACTACTCAGTAACCACATGGTGGCCAAACATTCAACCATATTTCGGTCTATCCCATCTTTTATTTTAGCATGTTAGCTTAGTTGACTGCTACATTTGTTTTCTGTACAGCGCATATGTTATGCTCTTTATAAGTCGCCTACCATTACCATCAGTAGCCATAGGGAAACACTGCCACTGATATTGAAGATAGACGTATGTCTCCATCAGGGATTCGAACCCAAGACTTTCAGACTATTCTTCGGTGGTTTTCCACAACAGATGGTCCATCAAGCCAAATAAATGGGCCACACCCAACTCCCTCAGAGCCACACCAGGGGCTGGGGTTTAAAAAAAAATAGGTTTTGTCCCCTCTAGATGCTCAAAGCCCAGCCATCTTTGGATTAGAAAATGATTTTAATATTTTTCCCTGACAAATTTTATTGCAACTCGCCAATAGCTGGGCCTGGGTCTAGCTGGCCCCTTTGCTGCCACCAATTCTGATTTGGACACACAAGTGGTATACACAGCGATTGGATTTTCAAGTCCTAATGGGAATATACTACATTTTATTTCAAATATATAATATTTATATCAAACCATCAAACCATACTGGACTAAAACCTTCAAAAGTCAAAGTTTAGGTGGTCTCTTATTTTGAACTATAATGTTTGAACATGGTATCAATATACACAAGTACCAGCTGTATTCATATAGTTTCTACCATCATGGCCAATGGATTTGCCATCCAAAATGACTAGTATGAAGATGAGAAGGCGAAAAAGCCAAGTACTAAATCATCATTTATGAAGCTAAATTTGGTTTGCTGGACACAGCAACTGGGGAATCTCTGTACAAAATGCTTTCTTTAAACTGTTCTCTGACAAAATCCCTGACATTGGCAAGCCGCCTAGACTGCCGCCACTGTAGCTTAAATGGGCACAGGTGGTTCAAAAATAGTTTTAAATATGAAAAAGAAAATATTTATATTGTAGAAACTCACAAAAAGACTAAGTAAAGGCATTCATTCATTTACCATAATGCCACAGTGGTAGAAATTAACATGCTGACATGCAGCAACATTATTGCAAATTATTAATTGTATGCTAATAATAAATAAACAGAAATATGGACAGCAATGTAAACATTAAAGTTACAGTTTACAACAAAAGTAGTCAAAAATAAATGTATTTCAAGTTACTGCTCTCTTTAAAATCTGAATATTGATAAAAAAAAAATTCTACACAATAAAATATTTCAATATTTACAAAATAGCACAGTGAGCATAACTAAATTTACAGTTTGTTAATATTTTTGTGACATTTGATATCACAGCTGAGGAAAGTATACTGAATACTTAAAACCATAAAAATATTGAATAATTTTATTTCTTTTTACAATCCTTGTATAGCATAGACTAAAATTATTTAACAGTATGGACAAACTTAGTAGGCATACCAAATCTTGTTGTATACTTCCCAATCACTCATCAAAACATTATACTCAATCCACACAAGATAAAATGTTACATGTTATATGCTATGTTATGTTATATGTTGTATGTTGTATGTTGTATTTTGTATCTTGTATATGGACACATAAATGTTAAAAAGACATATTCCCAACAAGATACCATCATCTTTACACAAGCAATTACAAACTTTTCGAAATGTCAGTACAATATATAAACAGGCAGTACACCAGAGTCAGTACCAGCTACTGTGCCTCCTGTGAGAATGTGTACATATCCTTGTTAAATATTTAGTGTGACAGTGTTCTAAAATGTGTTTCGTGCATACACACACTAATTTTACATGGATAGGCATTCACATACTCAATTTTCGCAGGCAAATTCAATTTAATTTATTTAAATTAAATTTATTTCTTTGTCTGCTTAAATATCCCTAGTCAGAATTCTTATTTGAATTTGGTACAAGTTACAAGGCATGGAGATATTGGTTGCCACTTTTGTGTGCTATATAAGTCTCCAACCATTACCATTCCTCAAGCCTTATAATGACATTTGGTTATTGAAGACAGATACATCCTGCACCTTGTTATGGTTTCTATGGAACCGTATCTGGTGGACTATCAGCCAACACAGTGTCATAATGAACGCCAGGCTCATAATGAACGCCAGGCTCATAATGAACGCCAGGCTCATAATGAACGCCAGGCTCATAATGAACGCCAGGCTCATAATGAACGCCAGGCTCATAATGAACGCCAGGCTCATAATGAACGCCAGGCTCATAATGAACGCCAGGCTCATAATGAACGCCAGGCTCATAATGAACGCCAGGCTCATAATGAACGCCAGGCTCATAATGAACGCCAGGCTCATAATGAACGCCAGGCTCATAATGAACGCCAGGCTCATAATGAACGCCAGGCTCATAATGAATTCCAGGTTCATAATGAATTCCAGGCTCATAATGAATGCCAGGCTCATAATGAATGCCAGGCTCATAATGAATGCCAGGCTCATAATGAATGCCAGGCTCATAATGAATGCCAGGCTCATAATGAATGTCACTTTCATTATGTACTCATATAAACAAGTGGGACTGCAGAAGATTACCTTCGCATTGTGTCGAGAAGGTGTGTGAAGATTTTTGGATCCATTTTATGTTCCTTTTGCAACAGGAGGCACTGTTCCAATGTTACCGACATGGCGGTACGATCCTTGGCACTCTTACAGCTTGTAAATCGCACACCATTCATTCTTCTTGTTAACTAGTACGTTGGATTTAAAGTTGAAAAGACAAAAAAGCAAAATACAATTACAAATAATGTTGTTTATACTGTAATTACATTATGAAATTGATTATGATTCCCATAATATATATTTACTTCAAATTTATTTAACATTTAATTTTTTAGTTAAGTCATGTAATTTTATAATATATTTAATTATTTTAGATGGTCCCTGAATTATTTTTGTAATTGTAAAATGTGATATATTTTTTTTAAATTTCTGTTCATATGGAACTCTTAGATTTAGACTTATAAAAGAGTTTCTGCACCTGTTCCAAAATGTTTCTTAGAATATTTTGAAAATGAATTAAAAATGAAAATAATTATACTAACCTCACTACTAATTTGCAAGATTTCCATATTCTTATGAGATTTTAATTGCACATGATGGGCAAGGCTGCTAACCAAAATATCCAGTGTGACGGGGGACTGTGACTTTGGCCTCTCGTCTGCAGGAATCTCTTGCACGAATTGATCGTAAAATTTCTGAAGTTTCTGCATGTTATCACGGTTAGTAGTCTCTTGTAGTGACGTGTCACCAATCCTGAGAAATTATACACTCGTTTTATTGGGACTATCTCTGATTATATTCTATAAAATTATATTAAATAATGTGTTTGTATGTAAATCATATTTGGTAAATTAAATCCTTAATTCAGCTTTTGCCTGCTATGGACTTTTTTTTATTTTCTAAATTATATATGTTCAAATACTGAATAAAAGATATCGAGATCTTAGAGACATTTTCTATCTATAACTTATTATAAAGTAAATTATAGAGTAAATTTCAGCTACATTAAGTATAATATATAAAAAATATATATTATATTTTTTTAAGTTAATGATTTTTATTGTACTATTTATAGGTTTGATTTTTTTATTTTGTTCAAATATTGAATAAAAGATACCGATATATATAACATATTCTATCTACAACTTTTTATAAAGATGAGTAAATTTTGGTTACATTATAATGTACAAATATATATTATATATTTTGAAAGTTTTTTATTTTAATCGTACCATTTATAAGTTTGATTTTTATATTTTGTATATCATGTTCAAATACTGAATAAAAGATACCAATATATATATAATATATTCTATCTATAACTTATTCTAAAGATGACTAAATTTTAGTTACATTAAGTATACTGTACAAATATATAATATATATTTTGAAAGTTGGTGATTCTTATTTTATCAACTTTGTATATTAGTTTAAATTATTTTTTTATTGTCTCTTCTAAAGCCAGGCACTCACTGCACCCGGCGGTTGTAGGCCGACCCATTCCACGAAAAATGCAACGCAATGACACGTGCGTAACGGATCGTTTTTAATAAAGATCTGTTCAGACTGCCGCTAACAATCACCAGACGGTGTCAAGCGAACTGTGCAAAATGCGCTATCTATGTATGTAAAATCATCATCATTACTCATATTACCAAAAAATATGTAATTTTTTTTATGAAACACTATCCTACTACAAATCTTGTAAATAAAAATAAATTTAAATAAATGCAGCAGAATGATTCTTAAAATCACTGATGGGTGAAAGTAATTTATTAGCATTATTCAGGTCAGGTGAGTAAAAAAGCTGCATTACTCCATTCCGCAAAATGGTGATAGTCTACAGTAAGACTAAGACAGAAATTTTATATAGCATGCAACTGATCACCAATCAGACCTAAAAAAATTGTCTGCACTCCAGCGCCTGCCGTTAGTTCATAGAAACATAGGAGCGGCGTTTTTTAAAAAAGTTTTCTTTTTCCATTTTTTAGTTCCAAAATTTTAAAAAGTGATCTTTATTTTCGTCCATTTTGCACATGAAAATTATATAAATTTGGTGTCTGATGTAAGGTATCGCCATTCTAGGCCAAAATTTCTTTGCAAAATATCGATTATGGGTTATTTTTATTCAGTCTGATGAATACTCTTTGAAAAAACAAATAGTGAGACAGGCTTAACTTAATATGTTAATTTTGGCGAGAAAAATTTTTTTTTTAAATTGTTGCACCCTCCTACACAATTTTCAGCATTAAAGGGCAAACAAATAATTTATATTTTTAGGCCTCAATTGCATGCCATATAAATTCCAAGACAGCACAGATAATTTACTCTTAGAAATGGATCATTTCCATCCATTTTTTCAAAAACTTCCCCTGGTTGTACTTAGTTTATTACTTACAGTTCAGCAAGGGTCTGTTCTTCATTTAGACCAACACTAAACAATATTGGAACTAGCTTAAACTGGAAGTCCTTGACACCTTCATCTGGCAGTTTAGAACACATTATAGGTGAAAGGGGAATCTCAATCATCACTTTACTCCTACCAAAAAAAATCATAGAAGTATTGCAGATACAAGAAGTTATATTAAAGAAATATTTACCATTTTAAAATACTATAGATCTAGTGTACACTGGAATGTAAATTAAGGAAAAGTATATAAATTCAAAATAATTAAAGAAATATTTTTGTATAACCAGATACTTAAAACCCAATATCTGAAATTACAAATGACCTGTAGGCTATGCTTGTGAAGTATACTGTACACTCTAAAGAAGATTTTTGGTGATGTCACTCATTTAGCAATGAGGCCATTGCAGAAATTTGAAAGAAATTAAAGTTGAAATACACCATACTTTAACCTTCTCAAATACTTCATAAAATTTGAATTTCTTTTTTTAAAGTCAGATTAATCAAACAATTTTCCTACATTTAGATTTAAATATGTTACTTGAACATCAATGGAGAACTATGTCTTTACATTAAATTAGTATACAGACGACAATGGGTTTCATTCTCTATCTTTCTTATCCATCTGTTTATGTGACTACATATCCATCATTATTATCAAATCAGATGAATGCTTACCTATCCCCTGTAACGATAGGTGTTGGATCAGCATCTGGATTGGACATTTCTCGAACTCGATAGGTAACTTTATTTAAGTCACTGATGCCAACTGTCATATCTTCCAGCATTCCCATCTCCTCTCCTGGTAGAGAGAAAAAAAAATGGAAAATTGGGTTCCATATTCTTTCATGCAATTAAATTATTACTATGTAATGAAGTATTGCTGGCAATAGGTATTTAAATTGTGTACATATAGGAAGTATGTGGGGTGCTCCTTTTAAAAATACACTGACAAATACTGCATTATATAACCATATCAAAAAGTACCATTATTCTAGCATCATCATCATCATCTCCACACAACCACTTTCACCTCCACCATCACTATCATCCTTATCATTTTCACTGCCATTGTTATTGCCATCGCATGGCTGTCATCATCATTATATTTGTTGTCACTGCCTTTATATCATCATCGTAATTGTGATATATATTATTATAATTCTTACCATATGTACTGAGTAAACTTTCAAAGTGTACAATCATGCCAATAGTCCGTAACTGATGCACAAAGCCTTTTTGACTAATACACTGCTGCAGTTTAGCTATGACCCCACATGTAGCTGTAGTTAACTGAATTTATGAGAACATTAATAAAAAACCATTAATATAAACATGAGATTTTTATCCTTAGTGTATCTTGTTTTGGTTGTTTTGTCTTTTAAATGCCTCTTGCTTTATTTTTCTACTTCAATGTGTGGTTGGTTTTCTTAATCAGTTAAATTACTGGTTGTTTTTGTTTCATTAATTGTCTTTGTTCTCAATTTTCTGTGTGTTTACTGTCTTGATTTGGCTGTTTTTTTTGTTTACCACCACCTTCTTTCCATTGATATCAGAAAGGCATGGTTGTGTACTAAGAAGATTTTCTATTTTGTGTATTATTTTGTATCTTCTTGATAATAGCCCTTTATTGCCTTTGGAGCGTTCACAAATTGAATTGAATTGAGTTACACACTCTGTGGCAACAGTAGTTCTAAAACAATTCTATGGTAAAAAAAAAAAATGGTACACCAATATGCATCATTTCTTATGTATATTTTATTGAATTTAATAAAATAAACTACATACAAAATGATAAAACTCTTCTCGTTCCAATCTGTGAAACTTTCTTGCAAGATAGAAATATTACTACGTTTGACAGATCCAGGCAGACAACCCCTACACCCTGTACCTCAATTAATGTTGGGTATTATGAAAACAACCTGTACACCATTTACCATTACAAAGGCCATAAGCCATTAATTACACCTTTGGTATTGATCAAACTTACTGCTTGAGAGAAGACGATATCTCTTCGATACTTCAACGCCATGATGGATAATAAATTACTGTGTTCCTCCTAAAAATATTCAAATGATAGGGAAAATATGTTAATTTATTTTTCCTTGGCATAACAAAAAAAAATATGAGTATCTCATGTCTATTATGTAGTGGCTTTTATTTATTACCAGCAACCTTACACACTAATGCAAGCAAACAAAAACCTCTCAGAACTAATCCATTTCTGCAAATTGAGGATGCTTGCATGTTGACTAATAATATTGTCTATCTGATACTGGCCATGAGCAGCAAAACACAATAAGATGTGATAAGAAAGCTCAGTAAACCTCCTGGAAATAGCTTCTCCAAAAGTGGAACCTCTGGACTCTAATTATTCATGGTCCATAGAAGGTGGAACCTGGTTCAAGAGGAAGGGTTATATGTGTCCCTTTACCTGTTGTGAGGGACCTGTTCACATAACTAAAGATATGAATGTTACAGAATCATCTGAAAAATATACAAAAGTAAATTAACATTTCATACTTTCATCCTACAGTAGGAAATGCTTATTTTTGCCTGCGTTTGCAGGTGAGTAACAGCTTCTCGTAATGACCGTACTGAACTGGCTGTAGCAAGACACCTCTCCGCAGTATTAGCATTTGTGGGCAGCATTTCAACACTCTGTTGCAACACCTCCAAACAATCCTCAATCTGGTGTTTCATTCCTTGCTACATTTTATAAGCAAAAAGAAAAGTTGGTGGTATAACAAATGCGAGAATCTGGTAGGGTTCATCTTATACAATATTGAAAGTTAGCTTGTGACAAGTGCCTTCGTATTTATAGATGCACCCTCATTTTACTTCCATGTTCAAAGAGTTTGCCCTCCAATTTGAGACCTTCTAATCCAAGTACCAGCTAAAAATCTTCAAACTTTTAACACAAATCTATTACTGGACACCGAAACCCAAGACCAAACACCATTTTCAGGTTCAAAATTTTGGCTTGTGCAGAAAATGTGGTATTTAAAAAAAAAACCCTATGATTCAGGTACCCTGAGCCACATTATTATAATTCATACAGTATTATTCTCATCTGAATTTTATCAAAGGGGTTATAACATTCACTATTTTTTCAAGTAATTCGTATAACAGATAAAAAACATTAAAAAAACCATGCTTTTAGCATTTGCCATTAACAAATTTCTTACAACTTCTACTTTACTTCATTCTCTTACCACTCTTATCACTTACCCATGTGCCAGGTCTCGCCCTCTCCTCGGAATCAATTCTAACAAAGCCAACACCATCAAAAGTCCATTTGTCTTCTGGAGTAATTGTCTTGGATTGTGTTGACTCAATAGATAAAGTGCTTGCTTCACTGGCAGTTTGAGCATCTTGTTTAGGTTCTACAGCACTTTTGTATGCAGCAAAAGTAGACTCAAAATATGCGGTGTCACATGTTATGATGAACTCTTGAAGCTGTACAAAATTACATCCAAATACATCAAGCATTGCTTACAGCAACATATTATATATGATTAAAGTATTGATGAGTAAAATGTTTTTTTTTAAACATGCAATAAGAATCACTTAAAACATTTGCTGATCAAAAAAAAATTTCTTAGACCAACTGATCAATTTCAATTTGTAAAAACTATTACATCATTATATTCTAAAAATGGTTCTGATCAATATTTACATTTCACTTTTTTATAACATGATTTCTGAATTAATTTTCAATAGTACTAAGAATTCTCCAAGATCATTGATTTTGTGAAAAGCACCACATCCATGACAATGAATCATACCACAATGAAAAGAAGACAAACAACATCTTGCAAACAACTTTTACTCACACAAGACACTCTAGTCTTCCAGGTGAATGTCAGGGCCGGCGGAACATCTTTCAAAGTGGGGGCCCACTACTAAGATGAATGGGAATATGAAAATTTAAGGGGTGGGGGTCAAACTTTTTGCTAAAAACCCAAAAAGGGAGGGGAGACTGGAGGTCCTCCCCCGGGAAAATCTTTATTCCTAGATGGTGGGAAATGAGCTTTCTCGACTTTTGAGCTAGGTGTCTTTTAATGACATTTAAGTTCTTCAAAATTTAAGGTTTTCCCTCATGTACCAGCTAAGAATCTTCTAACTGGACACACCGAAACCCAAGACCACCCCACATTTTCAGGTCGCAAATTTTATATACATACACATATGTAAAATTAGCTTTCCTGACTTCTAATTTCCTTATTGTAACAAAAAATAAAAATAAAAGAAAATCAACACACAGGTCCTGAAAATGTAGGTCTAGAATTCTTTTTTTTTGCCCAAAGGACGGTGGTCAGGACCTCTGACACCCCAGATCCGCCAATGTGACTTGCAAGAAAATGAAACCTTGGTCGGGGACTGGCTAAACACTCTCTTTTCCTTCCCTCTTTTCTCTTTAATTTCTTTCCGATCATACAAAAGTCTCCATAGACATTATATATTTTCTGCCGAAAAGTGGGGGCCCGGGCCCTCCAGCCCCACTGGTTCCGCCGGCCATTAATGAATGATTCAAAACAAAATTTCTACAAAAATGATTAAAGTACACACACAAAATGAAAAGTCAAGAAATTTGTTTTTAAAGTAATGTGAAAAATAAAAGCAATATTCTAGGATTATGATACATGAATACAAATAAATACACAGACACATACCGGTGACAGGTTTTTTTTTCCATGCATTGTTTTAATTATGTGGAAAAAATTTTCATCTCATACCTAACCGTCTACATCTAATTCTGTCTTCATGAAAAACTTACGTTTTCAAAAACCTTTTTTCTTGGGATTTTATTTTTCTCTTTCAGTTTTGAGTAATTTTAGGGTTTTCAATACTGGTTCATTTGGGAATTTTCTTGTCTGCTTGGGTTTGGGTAGTACTGTAGCTTATACTTGCTGTGGACTACAGTATGAGGTGCAATGTGGGGTGCTGCTAGCATTATTTTTTTTCACATAGAGTTGCGGCAAAAATTATAGAGGGTGCTATTTTAGGTCAGTTAGGAGAACTGATATACATGAATATGCATACAGACTCGCGAAACACAGTCAGTGGTGTATCAAGTTTTATGCGTGGATGAACGCTATGGAGTCGCTAAGCCAAAATATCTTAAATAAGCCTTGGTAGTCAAGACAGTGTAAAAATTGTAGTACTGGATTAGACACATTCTATGTAGGCCTACAGCATGGTCTTTGATAGTAAAAAAAAAAATGGAGTAGGCTAATATTGAATCTGGCACCGTATTTGAGTAGGCCTAGGCCTACAGTTTACAAATAAGGTTTTCTTTTTTAATGAGAAAAAAATCCCTGCCTATTACAGACAATGAGCGTTTCTGTATTCTTTTGCATGATTCATTGGTTGGTAACATTTAAGGATTTTTGTAGTACCGTCTGTAAATCAATGAAAGCTATTTTTACTTCCATCTGATTTTGATCGTTTTAAATATAAAGCTATTCAATATTTAATTGGGTAGACACACCCTAAACAGTACGTCATATCATGTGTATAAAATATCATGAATTTAGTGTTTATAATATACCTGCCTTTATTCATATTGAATATGAACAAAATGTTTGTAAGAAGCCAACATTCAAACAATACATAGAAATGTAACTGTGTGTCTGAGCATTTCTAAACGTTTACCCTTTAGAATCAGTAGTATAGCAGTTAATTATTGCTATACTTTACACTACTCAAATAATCGACCAGAAATTCAACGCTGCTTTTTTATACTTTCAAAGACCATGTACGTAAACACTGCCCAGGCATAGGGATATTGTAATTACAGTAATGTTGAGTCAATTAAGGTAGTTGACTCTGTATCGACTGTATACACTTTCCTCTCGACCGACTACCAAGAGATTTTGGCCTACCCTAACTATGGAGGAATTAGTTTAGTTTCGAAACTACAGTAACTCCTACATGCCCTAAGAATGCCGTAGCTTTTATATTCCACAAACAGCCAACACCACACCACTTTCGTGACTCGCGAGAAGAAGTGTTAAGCATACATGCATTATTCATGTTAGCAGTTCACCTAAATGACCTTAAATAGTGCCCTCTATAATTGCTGCCTGAACTGTAAGGGAAAAAACATAATGCGTGCTGCTAGTGCTAACTATCTGCACAGAAAGGCACTAAATAAATGACAAAAGAATAAGAATACCAATACTAAAAGCAGATGTTAACTAACCTGATATTAATGAAACAATATATACACCAAAGTATGCATCAAAGTATTAAAGAATTGTTTAAAGGAAATATACCCACTTTACAGAAACGCGCCTATATACGCCACTGCAGATTACACATGGACCACTCCAAAATCAAATGTTAAACACCAAAGTCATTTATTGGACACTTCTTTTAGTCCCGAATGCGTGCCCTTAAGAAAGCTTCTACTGTAGTTTAATGCTGTAAAACTGGTGGCATTTGTGTTAAATTCAGTCATCATTAAAAAGTCCATTTATCTGGGTTCCTTCAACAATATTGTATCCTACACAAAATTCTCACCTTGTTAATGCTAAATTGTGCCACATCAGAGAAATAAGAGGTTTTCATGTCTTTTAAATCTGAAACTGTTGTCCAGACCATTCTTGAATTTGATCGTTTTAAATGATTGCTAACCTGCTCTACCTTTCTGATTGCTTTGACAATTTGTGTTTCTTGTACATGTTCATCTATACTACACGACTGTTTTGTCATATATATGTCTTCTGGTAACCAAGCATGTTTGCACCTAATAAAATATTTTTCTCATTAAATTTTGTGCTGTTGCTTTTTTTGTTTGAGGAAGTTTAGAAGCATCATTGAAGATTTTACGATTAATACGCTATCAAGACAAGAAATCAGGAGTTGGAAAAACTATTCAAAAAACTTCCTGAAAAAATTGCTAAGTGTTAATCAAACTCTTCAGTAACACTTTCATTAATTAGTGAAAAAAATTCTGGATTGAGTCACTTCTATAGAAGCAACATGTACATTATACTATTGCCTATAATTGTGAAGGTTCCCCATGGTCAATTCCTTTTTACCATGATTTTTTTCTGTGTTTAAAGCTTTGTTAATGATCTAGGCATCACCAAACATACATAAGCAAAACAAGCTCAGGCACTGATGAAATTAATTGTGGCAAAGACAAGCCAAACCAGTCACTTGTCGCAAAAATTGATTTTTAATTAGTAATACATGGTTAAAGATGAAAATAAGAGCTATAAAATGGTAAAAGAATCACTTAAATCCGACATTTCCTTATGAAGCTACAAGTGCTTAAACATGTACACAATTATTAAAAATTGTTGTTTTAACATAGAAAATGGGAAAAATAACAGCATGTCATGATGTATACATAGATAAAGGTTAGTTTACTGCAATAAAATAAATTACAAAAATGTTTACATTTCAGCATATTTTGGCCATGAAACATGTTTTGCAACGAGTGACTGGGTTGGCTTGTTTTTGCCACAATTGTTAAAATCAAAATCATGTGATAAAGAATAATCTAAAGCATATAAAAACACCACCAGCCATACAAATATACTACTACTCCATGTGGGTACTGGATATAAAAGAAAATTGTACAATTCTACAGCACCACTAACCTATACATGCATCTCAATGAATATGTTTGGGATAATTAGAACATTGAAGCTAATTAGTTAATTAGCTAATTGATTAATATAAGCAAATATGTAATGGTGAAACTGGAAGTATGTATGACATGTAGATGGTGGCAACTTACAAATGTGCTGCCACAACAGCAAAACCTTTGGTGTCCTAATAATTTACAGAGCTGGAACAAATATAAACAAAATTAAACATAAAAAAAGTAAAATAAAATAATAGGAACATTTACTTATTTTTATCTATTTACATTTATGTAATTTATAAGCTGAAGGTGTAGGATATGCCAATGGCGAACCTAATCATTTTACTATGTGCCAATTTTTCACAAGACAAACATACAAGCAAGATGTTTCATTATAATTCTTAGAGTCATGAGAAAAACTCCTGTTATCTGAGCCTAGGACCATGGGAATGGGAGGCAAAATCGCTCATTAAAAAATGAACAATAAGTATAATAGTACTATATTCTCACACGTGTAAAAAATACAAAAAAAAAAACACAGTATTAATACTGACATTAAAATTCAACATATTTTAAATGCTTGTCTTTAAATTCTAGGGTTTTGCGCTCAAACCTGTCAAAACCAGGATTTATCTCATAAATATAAATAAACATCTCAATTCCTTAAGCCTCAAATGAGATGTAGTTTAAAAATATACTCTGCAAGAACAATAACGTGCTACTGAAGACGTGCCAGTTTATATCATGATGTGTGCTTACGTGTGCATCAAAATTCTCAAGATCATTTTTAAGGAATTTAAAGCATGTTTCAGGCTAGTTTGAGCATTTCAAAATTTCCGTGCTGTACGAGGACTTTTAGGCACACAGCAAGTACTGAAGCTAGAAATTACGTCTTTTACATATTTTAGGTTCCTGACACTGTATTCATAATTTCCATTCTTTGTCAGTCACTTTAGGGCCCATAACAAAGCTGTACGCACTCATCAAACATACAAATCTGTGTACCATACAGTGAAAATATGCCAAAATCATGTATTTTTAATCAGTTATAGGTCCTTAGGATGAAAGGTGACCCCCAATTTTTATTACATATTTGAGAGCAGATGAGTTGTAGATATGATTTTGTAGATTATTAAGGCTTGATTGGATATTGTGACATCATCAAAATGTCCATTTTGATTTTGATGACATCATGGTGAAAATGAATTTTTTTCCTGACCACCACCTTATCTTTCTTTGTCTAAATCTTTGTGAAATTCTATGATTAATCATAAATCTCTCACATGCATTTTTCAATGAGACTTGACACAAATATACTTCATATCAAGGGTCAACTTGTGTGCCATTATCGTCCATGCACTCGCCATGACGTGCATATACGTGTACATTAACATTTTTTAATTCTCAAAATCACTTTTTGACAAATTCAGAGCAGGTTTCAGGCCATTTTGCGAAACTAAAAATTGTCCGCAATAACAATACTGTATGCTCGCATCAAACATACAAATCTGTACGCTCATTTTTGTTGACATAAGACACTCTATTCACAAATCACTATGTCTTTAAATGCCTGGTTTGGTTCTGATACCAACAGCATCCTTCATGATAAATCATTCCAAAATTATCAAAATAACAATCATCAGATCACTGTCAGATCCTGCATATCACCTAAGTTTAACACATCTTTGGGTTAGTCATATGATATTTGTATGTTATTGTTTTTTAGATAAATCATACATTATTTTGATATTGTCTTTTAATGGCAGACACTGACAATGCTTCATGCTGTCAACTTTGGTTAACATGATTCAAAATATTTAGTTTTAATTCATTTTGTTTGTGCATATGTAATGAATTTGACACCAATAAATGAGCATTATTAACAATGGTTTTTTTAAACTCTTTTTGTAGGATTAAGCGAAAAGCACTTCTTTTAATTCCTAGGCCCAGCACCGTCGACGCCGAGCGGGGGCCTTTCAAAAAAGACAAATTCCTACAAAATAATATTTTTTTTGTAGGTAAAACATTTAACTGCTCATTTAATTGCTCACACTAACAAGACTTAGGTTAGCAATGTGTAGAGCAATGCTTCCCAAATTGTTTTCCTGGAGAACTACTTCGTCAAAACATAGATATAAGTTCACTCTTCAGGCTTTTAATTGGGCTGTAAAAACCATGATGATAAGCAATGGATATTGAAAACCCATACCAGATATTGAAAGCCCGTACCTGACACAGTTTTCTAAAAATATTTATATTTGAAAGCACACAGTATTAATTATATTTTTTCATAGAAATGACATAAATTCATATTCCTTATCCTAGAAGACTTGTTCCACCTCCAGAACCATAGGCGAGCGTGCCATGCGAACCAGGGCCAATATTATAGCCATAGGTTGAGGCACCCATGCCTTAACCGCTCGATAATTTATCTCCCCAAATAATCACTGTATTAAAGCAATCCACATAATCGCTGAAAACTTTTATTAAAGGTACCTGTAATAAATCATAGTGCATGTTTTGTGTACATACCTTTTGATTGAGCACCACCAGTGAGCATTTAACAGCATCAACTGAAAGCTCCTCTGCAGCTTGTAGCACTTTATCTAGTTGTTGATCTATCGCTTCCTTGAGTGAGGCTAGCTGTAAGCTAGCATCCTTGGCATTAGGTAAATGACTTCGCGGCCGTATTGCACTGAAAATAATTAATCAAATAACCACTAAACAATAGGTTAGGCTTCATAGTGACATAACAATTGAAAGCATATGTATAAAACAGAATTAGAACATTAAAAGCACCACACCAATACCCAACAGTATATTATACGGTAAAATATTCATGTTTTTCCAAATGGTACCGGTCGACGCTGTTGCTGTATGGATATACATGCGTGTGTACAGGATGTAGAGGCAGCGATGAATCAATGATTGTGTCCTGTTTTTTCATCATTTCTACATCTTTTGGGCATTCATACATGTGTTTGTATGTATGTATGTATTTTATATATACGTATGTTTGTATATATGGATATATATACATTTATATATGCATACATAAGTAAATGCAATTTAAATTTATCTATGTTTTGTATAAGCTTAAACTAAAATTTTTTTATGAGAATTGTACATATTTTGTTTTATTACATCCCGCCTAACATTTACTCACAATTGTGGGTCCTCTGGGGTTTGCTGCAGCATCCTGCGAAGTCCTCCATGTCGAAATTTATGTGAATGAGCTGCAGGTGCACCAAATGTTATAATATCATAAGACACATCTAACATAAAAAGAACAAAATACAATCATTATATTTATGTGAATGAGCTGAAGGTGCAACAAATGTTATAATATCATAAGACACATCTAACAGAAAAAGAACAAAAAACAATCATTATATTTATGTGAATGAGCTGCAGGTGCACCAAATGTTATAATGTCATAAGACACAACTAATAGAACAAGAAAAAAAAACAATCATCAAATTTAAAACAATAGAGGGATTCGGCAATGGGTGTCATGCGACCTAACTTGGATATAAATAGTCTATTGGCACAGCGGTGTTTTACGTGGAGATTGCTATGGCGGTCATCACTTGTTATTGCTGTGAAGATCATCATAATTCCCAGTAAACTATACCAAAATGATTGCAAACTAAACTTAAGAATTTTGCCTTAATGGTTTGCTACTGCTGTCGAGAATACTGGCCACAAAAACATTCAGATTTTTTGACAAATTTTAGGCCTAGGCGCCTGCATACCTACAGCATAGTTAAGTATGCATAATGGTCTTCGACCCGCAAAGAGAGATTAACATTTGTTTTCAAGAACAAAGCTTGCACAGACTTTGAATACTTGGTACAAAAATTATAAAGAGGCAAAATCAATCACCTTTAATATCTGTCATACAGGTATTCTCTTCAGCATTCAACCTTTGTAAGTGAAGGTTGGTAGGAACAAATTCTAATTGTTTGTCTGTTTTGTCCATACTCCGCTTAAATTGAATACCTATGATCCAGTCCATGAAAAAAAAAAAAAAAAAAAAACTATTACATTTATTGAAGATGTGAGTTATATATAGTTCATACATTCTGTTTGTTTAAATATGCAAATGAAGAGTTCTAGAAATTAATTATTTATATTTCATTTTCCTTATATTCCAATCCTATTGCAGCATTTTTGGTGAGGTGACACATGCCAGTGGAAATAAACAGTTCCAGTATTTGTTCCTCTAATTGTATCACCACAAAATATCAGTAATAAAAATGAGATAAATATTTTGTATTTGTCAGTACGCCATGAACTAGCTAAATAATTATTATTCAATTCAATTTCTGCAAATGTCATTGAGTACTAATATCTACTGATATATGTCACAAATTATTAATTAATTTGTATAGTATTTACCTCATAAAATTTTTTATATTTGAATTGTATTTATTACATTTTTTCATCATTTTATATATTACATTGAATTTTTTACCCTTGTATATATTGTAGTGTATAAGCAAAGATTGTACATGTGAATGATTTGAAATTAATTTTGCCTATGCTGAATACGAATGAATGACTCTAATCCAGAGTGGATCACCAATATGTTGTATCAGTGTTAGAAAAAAGGAAATTAATGGCAATCTACCTATTATCAACAAACTCCACTGTATCAGTTTTCTTCAGACTTCAGTGTGATCATACATAATTTCTACCCCCTTATTAAACACTGCCCCCTGAAACTCACAGTAACATTGATGGATGTGACAAACCTTTATAATTATTAAAGAATTCTAACGTATCTCTATATATTGCATTGAGTTTGACATGTTCAGCAATAACTTCTTTTCTTGCTGCTTCTGATTCTTCATTTAGCTTCAAAATAGAAAATAGCAAATGTTGAATAATACAGGAGGATGGTTGGATGCAAGTTATTTGTGGTGGAATGAGTCACACAATGTATTGTGTGATGAAGACTACTTGCTATTACATTGTTTGCTTGTCCATAACCTTTGACATTGCATTAGATTTTACAAGAAAAGTCCAGCTGCAAGCATATTTAATGTAGCACTTTGCCCAATTTTGAGAGCACACACCACCTGTGTATTTAAAACACTGATTAATGCTTAGCCCACCGAACAATCACATTTAAGAACATTCCCTAAAAGGAATATTCTTATAATCAATGGCCTATTTTTCTACACTAGTGCAACTGTAACACAACTGGCAGATCCATGAATTGAGGGGATCCAGGAAGGGTGTTTATTATACAATGGGTTTGATTCTTCATATAATAATGGAATATGAAAAATTGGTCTAAAAGTCTGATGGACCCTTTTGACTTGGTGGACCCCATTTATTTTTCATGGACCCCTTAGGGGTGTACAGACACCAAGTTGGGTGTACACTGGTGTAAGCAATTTGAGTAGGAAATACAAAGGAAAAATAAAAGGATGAGGGTGGCGGCATAATATCTGAATATAAATCATATTATTAAAAATTCATATTTCATAATTTTTTTTCAAGTAATAATCATTTTTATTTAACTAATTCTATAGCAGCACAATTTAAATCAGGCTTATTTTGATTTTTGATAAAGATTTCTTTTTGATGATCCGAAAATTTAATTGAATACATGCGTAAACCTTTTCATCAATGTTCGTAGGCTTATTTTGAATTATTCATGCTTATACTGTACAATTAATAAATCTCCACAGCTCTATGAAGATCATTATAGATAACACATAAATCACTATGGCAACAAATCCTCCAGGAAGATGGCAGCATGTAACAAAGCGGATGTACAAATATGCAAATTAGCTTCAATATGAGGTTAATAGTTTTAAAGTAAAAAGCATGGCTAAATACAGGAAGCTGTAAACCTCCAAATGCTTAATTTGACGTAGGACTCATGAGAGGTAATACTTCCGTCAAAGATCAATTTACAAGTGACAGTTAAAGGAACAATAGAATTTATAAGCAGGAAATACTGATCTTCATACAGATAAGCATATATATTGGAATTGCCCTTTCTTTAAATGGTTGCTGTAAGCTTTCTTTTGCCAGCAATCTATTTCATGTCATATTTTTATATCAGAAAACAATGAAAATTGGAAATTCCATAATTACATTAGTTAGACTGTCCAACTCTTCAAACCAATTTTTCTCTTCTTGTAAATATAATTTCCTGAGGATCAAGTAAATTTTAATTTAGAATCACATACTACCAGACTTGAATCATGGTAATCTTGATACAAAACAAGAAAATTTAATATTACAATATATTTGTCAAAAATAAATATTTTTTTAGAAATTAAATTTTTAGTAACTATTACAAATAAACTGATGGACTAAATTTGTAGTAATATGTTTATGCTGCTCCACCCACCTCCCCTCCCCTTTGGCACCTCCTAAATTTTTCAAAATTATTAAAAATATTAATCAAATTTAGGTCTGAGAATGTCATTTCTAGCTATCTAGAGGTGCCATAATCTTTTCTCAGTCCCAACCATGGTGGGGATGAAGTGGTCTAAATTCTCCATCTGCGCAAGTAATTAACTAATTATAATTATTTAATTGCCATAATAGTAATTAAATTCATGATAGCACGTGTCTATACAAATTTACACTCATCCAAACATACAATACCACCTCCACCCACATGACTACTTATATCCATACCACAATGTCAATTAAATATAAACAACGTTCTTTTATATTTATGACTAACTTTAACTTTTGTGTATTTATACAATTTTTAATAAAAACTATATTTCAACTTTTTAAATGATTTCACTATATAATGTAAAATTTAATCCAATCTAAGTTCATAATACTTGGTCTTTTAATAATCAAGTCTTTTAATAATAAAAAGTAAGTACTGTATGCCTTTTAATAATCATATAATATATGATTATTGTTATGTTTAAACATACAGTATCATTTGTCTATTTGAACCCTTATATAATATTTTTTACTATACTAATGTTTTTTTCTCTCACCAAGCAGTTGTTATTTTCTTTGTTTTTTTCATTTTAATTTTTGTCTTTGTATAATTGTTACTTGATTGTATTATTGTATTATGGACGCATCACCATACAATTGTGTGTCGCTATTTTGAAAGAGAGTTCTAATAAATACTGAAACTGACACAACTTCACTCATCCTGCATATCTTTTTCTTTGCATGTATAATTACTCACATGAGCTGCTGGGGTAAGTAGAAGCTGAGTTTGCTCTCTGCCATAACTTCTTGTACAACAACAATCATGCCTTCTGTATCTGGATAGCGATAGGTTTTACTGATGGGGCAACAGTACAAAGCCTTAGACAAGTTATCCTGAGCTAGTGATAGTGACCGCTTTTTGCGGGTACTACTCCTTTTACATGGCAAGTCATTTGTCACGCTCTTCTATAAATCAAAGAAAACTAAGGATTATCAAAAAACAAATACAAAAATTATCTTATTCTTGCTGTTGGCAGAGTTCTTAATCAAGTATTAAAACATTCTACACAGTTATAAATAGTAAAAACAAAAAAAAAAAAAAAACAATATTACATAAGAAATTCCATAAATAAAAGTGGATTGATGAAATGAAATTACGTTCTGATGCTTTTGTGTTATCTTTTTATTTTGTATGTGTAATCATACTAGTATATTAATTTTTCAATTATATTTACTATTTATTATTTGTAATTGCCATAACCTATATTAATAATAATAATAATAATAATTCTGGATTTATATAGCGCCTCACGTTGACACAACTTTTTTTGAGATACACATCATCGTGTTAGGATAAGATTGTATCTTGGTTTAGGCCATTTCAACAATCCATTGATATCATTATCGTCATTTCATTGACAGTGGCTATAAAAATATATAAATTGTATTTATAATGATATTTAACTTACTTCTTTTGCAATAGTAGTCTTTTGTGGAGTTGGGAGATCCAGCTGAAATGGTACATTTACATTTTGTCATTCAACAACTTATTCTAACCTTACTACATGAACTATGGCTGCTAAAAATGTAAATGGATGGAAGCTTTCCAAGGATACTGTGTAAACAGCAGAGAATAGCAAGAACAATAATTCAGTCTCGCTTTTTTCCTAACAATAGGCCTATCAAAAGTTATAAGATTTCTGTGTTGAATAGTAAAAACACAACTTGGCAATAATTTTTATTTTCCCATGGCATTAACCACCCACTTACTTCCCAAAAATTGGATCACTACCTCCTAACCTCTGATGGAAACACAGTACTGCAAGAATATTCCCATCATTGCCTATTACTCTAGAGCCCCCCCTTTTTTTTTTTTTTTTTTACAATTTTTAATATTTCGTGACCTTTTATTTTCCCAATTTTAAAATTTCCAGTAATTTTAAACATGATTCAAAAACCTACCATTATGCTTTTTTAGCCTACCATAAAACCTCAAATTAAAGCTATGGGCTTCTTTTCTTTGCGAACTTTGAATGGGCTTCTTTTCAAGATGGGCTTCATTTTAGGAAGGGCTTCTTTTCGAGACTACTTTTGTAAAGAGAGGGGCTTCTTTTCAAAATGAATGCTGTTAAAATTTTGTGAATTTGTACTATAAAACAATAAATAAGGCCACATCAATCTGTATCATGGAGTGTATTTAACTGGCATTAAATTACCTAAACTACTGTATAAACCAAGCTTGTATTTAATTTATTTTGTTTTCTGAAATTTAAGTACAGTGTATGTGACTTTAATATCTTGAAAAGAAGGCTATGCTATCTTGAAAAGAAGTCCATGGGTTTCTTTTTGAAATGGGCTTCTTTTCAAGGCTAATTTTGCAAATTAAAAAGGGGCATCAGTTTGAGATGGGCTTCATCTCGAGATTAAGCCCACTGGGCTTCAATTCGAGGTTTTATGGTATATTATGGCTAGAGTTCCCGATTTTGGTAGGTTTTCCCCGATCTTTTGAGCAATCTCCTACCCTCCCGATTTTCAGACTAGCTCAGGCAGGCCTAGGCCTAATTCAGCTAGGCCTAGGCCTACTCCAGTTGCCTGTGTGGAGGCTTGACCAAGATTTTTCAAAGCGACATGTTCTTGTTAGAAATCTTGCAGAAAATGTAGGCCTAACATTGATACGATATAAAAAGATTGTAACAGTTAATTATCAACTAATGGGAAATATTTGTATTGTAGAAGAAATACAATGCTACGGTTTTTATTCTGCCTACCTTAAGGTAGGCAGATTCAGCTAGGAAAAATAGGCCACTACTATTACCACTTGATTTTCGTGCGCAAAAAAAAAGGGCTATACAGTATGTGAAATGGTCATAAACAACCATAAATGCAATATCGCAGTCAACATGTCATTCTGTTGTAACGACAGGTATAATGCCTTCTTGTAACTCTCCCTCTCCAAAATATTAATGTTGTAGTAACTTATAATATACTGCATACTATGTCCAATGTTAATCAACAAAAACCGTCAAAGACATTTTATCAAATAAATTACTGTAAACTCTCCAATGTTGCTTACCTCCCAAAGGAATAGTGTTATACTGCCTCCTATACACCTGCCATCAGCTGACATAATACTTAACTCTAGTCGGTTCTCAGGTGATGTAACAATGTCTCTAAAGGAGCAGAGAGCACTACCCATTGGCATCACCTGGTTGATTAATTACAATATTCATAAACAAAGACAAGACTTTTATTATACCATGCTTTGTGAACTTATGGTCTCTTAAAGCACCCTCTGCCATATGAACTAGGAAGACTTAACCCAGGAATTAGTAAGACTGATGAACCCACAAAATGAAAAGACTCAACTCGGTAAGCCTGTAAACTGGCAGGAATGAACAAAGAAATTAGGAAATTGAAGCTAGGAATCAACAAGAATGACCAAGCAATTCAGGACTTAACCCCAGAATTGGAAGTACTATACTCAGGAATTGGGAAGACTGAAACCAAGAATCTGGCAATTTAAATTTTTTTGGTTGTAGAAACTAAAAGTCTAAGCTTTGTCAACAATTAAAAGTCAAAGTCTACTGTAGAAGCTAAAAGTCTACTTTGAAAAAGCAATATATATATAAAATGTAAAAACAATGAGATGATGATGTACACAAATTCATTACATTTTATTAAATATTAAAGACAAAAAGAAAAGCGAAGACTCACAGCCCCATTTGGTCGATCACGAACTTCATATAATGTAGCACGTAACCTTGTTATTACAGACACTCGACTACTAGCCTCAAATACTACAGTCATAAGGTAAAATGGATCAGTATTGTTTTCAATAATCTCAGTTTGTCCACACTTGGTCCATTCAGTTTCAGGAGGAGTAACAACACTAATTGTAATAAATGTACTAGGTGATTTTCCAGACATGGTCTTGGGAAGATTTGAGCAAGCTAGAAAGAAACAAAAGTTCTTTTTTTCATCATTATATATTTTTAATTTTGAAAACTTCATTATTTCACATATTTGCTAATTCTACATTGCATTTATTTTCCTTTATCCACATATAATAATGAAATAATTTCAAAAGTTGAAAACTTAGTTTTGCATTATCTTTCCATACTTACATTTTATTATAATTTTATCCATAACCCAAGTAAATTGATAACTTGGAAAAATTTTGATGTGAATGTGCAATTGATAACTTGGAGAATGTTTTACAAAAAAAAAAAAAAATATTTTATGTAGATTTTCATTTTCACATAAAAGAATGCAGTATTGTAGGTCTAAATTTTTTTCTTCCATTTAATTTCTTTTTAATTAATTTTTGTGATGAGCATTACTATAGAAATAGGCTTAAGCAGTTAAAAATCACCTCATATCGCCTTATTTTGCGAACTGGCACCCACTCACTTAATCATCGTGCACCCCCCTCGATTCCCCCACCCTCCTCATTTCCAGACACAAATATACACTTCCCAAAGGACTGTAAACAAATCTATTGGAAGCTTTATTATTCCATTATGTACATTTTTTTCTATCCTGGTTAGGATCAACGATTTTAATGTTTTTCCATGATTATGACGTCATCTGATTTGATTTGTCAAAATATGTTTTTATCGCATAACTAATAAATCGTTATCGAATCGTTCTAGTGTAAAAACTTCTCTTATTTCTTTTATTTTCTATATGAACCATTGCTTTTTAGCTTTTTTATCGTTATCATTGAAGTATAAACAGGCCATTAATCTTTATGAACACGCATTAAAACATTTTGAAGGTAATTTTGTGTTGTAGTTCCAAATCTACAGTAAGATTAAAGGGCGTTTATGTCATTTGATACCGAAAAAATAAACGCCTCCCTCAAATAAACACCCCTTTAAAAACCCTTCTCAACAATAAATGCCTCAAGACATTTATTTGAATCAATAAAATACTTAATAATTAAAACAGTAAATTTTTAATAGGATTTTTATTATGAAATTCAAAAGATATTCTACATTCTAAGAATTGATTTTTCAATTAGCAGTCCATCAATTTTTTTAAATTATTTAGAAGAGAAATTTGCAATGCCCACCTAATGACATCTCTAGCATGGGCTCAACCTGCTGTATATCCATGGGATCACCCAAATCCAGGATACCATGTCGCTGTTCATTAATTGGATCACGCCCTGTCCTTGCAATTAGCTGACCACGTAGGCTTTTCAACTGGCCTCGTAAACTCTCATAGCTGGCTTGCTGTAACAGAGCCACCCACTCATCTCGTTGATCAGCCGAATGGGCTGCAAAATACTGGTTGTGTTCCTCCCCTACAAAGACTGCAATGTATATTTAATTAAATTCAATGAAATTTTTAAAGTTAAAAAAAAGTACATTTCTAAGCTAGTTGTTATACTCTTAGCTCTACTGTAGGCTTTCTGAAAGAATGAGAATTGCATTTTATTTATTAGAAGTATTTCTTCTACATACAGGTTCATAGTTGACAACATAACAGACACAGGTTCTATGCCTTTTCAATTTAATTCAAATTTATATTTGTAAAAAGGACAAAATAAGGAAGGAAAATACTACCTTCCAAGGATTGCCAAAAAGAGAAAGAAAGAAAAACAAATAAAGTTCATACTTTAAGGTTCACTAGAAAGATATATTTAAGCTTCAGTAAAATCAATATCTTGATGCAAATCATCATCTCTTTAAATTTGATAGCATAGTATAAAATAGATCTTTTTAATTTATATTTTGCTTAATTTAATTCAAGTCTGCACCCTCCAGTAGGACTACACCTCGAAACTCTGGGGTTCTAGCCATCTTCATATCCATCTGAACAATTTCATGCTTGATTAGAAAAGTCTAGCCAAGCATTACACTATATTAAATGATTTTTTGGAATGGAGTTGAATAGCTCAGTGGTGAAGATGTTTGTTTTCTAATCCCAGGGTCCTGGGTTCAATTTCTGTGACAGTAGGACTTTTTCTCACGACTAAAGACAACTCCACTCACTAAGCCTCATAAAGAGACTTGGTTTATAGTTTATAAAGCATCATTCTCATCCTGTAAGTGGCAAGTGTACTTGCTGTTGGATGTGAAGGAAATAAAAAAAAAAAATATAGACTATATTGTGCAAAAATAATTAGACCTGTGATTTGTGAAAATGACTTTACATACTTTTGGGAGAAATTAGGGCTAAACACTATTTTCTCCAAAATCTGCTACTGTCTAGAAAAATGCTTTTGAATTAAATTATTGTACTGTAATTAGATATCAAAATTTGTGTGAGCCTTTCTGAACACCGAGATAATTACTATAGTTTGCAAAGGTCTTGTCAGGCTACTATTGAGCAATATATTACAATTTCAATACTTAGCTTCCTGATGCAATTATGCAAATAAAGTAGCTTATGATGTAATTAATTCAAAATTGAAGTGAAAATAGAAAAAGCGAAATAGAAAGACAAAATTTTTAACCACAGAAACATTTGATCAATGTAATATAAATATAAATTAGTTTCTCTTGTCATTTTTTTTTCCTTTTCTGTTTGCTTCATTTATAATTCAAAAGCAGTTAATGGTACAAATTTGTGTTGAGTGAATTAGTATTCTGTTAATAGTTTTTATTTGTATATGACAACCTAGGATTTATGACTTCAATAAGTATTTTTAAACAAAAATTAAAAAATAAATAAATAAATATATAAAAAGAAAATTTATATAAAATGAAATAACCTTTATAAATATAATAAATGAAATACAAAAAAGGCTGTTTCTCTTTGCAAGTGGAAATAGCGTCGTGAGCAGCTCTGTGAGATGGATATGTGCACCTTACAAGATGCCATTATTATTATTATTATTAATATTTTATTTAAGAATATGGTCGTCTATATGATGAAGATGAATTAATCCATGAACAAATAAAATACACATGAATGAGGAGTATCTACCAAATAACTTCATAATTCACTTTGTGCTGCACATAAAATTAATAGTTTATTAAAATAGGCTTTGTATGCATAAAGAACGTTAAGTTCATAACTCGTGTGGGAAAAATAAATACAGAATAACAAAATAATATAATTAGGCGAGACCTTTCTTAGTCCTTGTTTCGCGTACATATTTTTTAAAAGATTTTTAGTGGAGGGCGAATAAAAATCAAATTTTGTTTTCTTCTTTAGCAAATAGTTTTGATAAAATCATCCAGACGTAGGAGAAAATAAAAATAAAATTTTATCGGTGAATGTAAAATTTATATAATTAGGAAGAAATATACATATCCTATCTTTGGATATTTCAAAACAGTTTTTTTTCTGAAATTTCCACTATTTCGTGGCAGCGGGTGGGGCTTATTGGCTAAAAACAAAATTTTATTTTTATTTGAAATCATCAATATTTGCAGTCGGCAGGTTCACTAAACAAGGTATAAAAAAAGTCTTGCCTTAGATTTAAAAAAATAAGGATGAGAAATAGTTATTAAATGTAAACAAAATTAAGCTTTCTATGACAATAATTAGTCTAATGCTTCATATTCTACAAAACTGAAGAATTATTATAAGTCAAAAATGGAGGCATTATAAAAGGGAAATTAAAAACAATACAAAAGCATGATTTGAAAAAAAAAAATAGCAAGATGGCTCCCAGTTTTCAATAAAAGATAAGTCAACAGAGAGTTTAAGAGAAAATTACGAAAAATCAGTAAGAGCACTAGGAGGAAGAGTGTTCCACAATCTAGCTGCCTCAATAACAAACTGATTTTTGAAAATATTCTATCTGGGACACACTTTAATCAAGATCTCTGGAATTTTCAAATAAAGGATAAACCACGCTTGTAGGGCAATTAGAGGAGAAATATTTCGCAGATTTAAAATTCGTCAATGTCGTAATTTTGTCTAATCATTATTTTATGTTGATTTTGCTCGAATAAAATTACTTAAACTTCCTGTTGAATGTGATGCTTCTATTGATACACTTTTCCACTCATTTTTCACTTTTATACATAAAATTATGTTTGTTTATTAGAGATACTCTAAAACCCCGATATCATCAGTTAATATGGAGTCTCATAAAATATTTTGTTTATTATTATTATTGTTTTTGTTCTGATTTTTTTTTTTTTTTTTCTGTTTTCTTGCATAAATTTTTTCTATCTTTTTGCACTGTTTTTTTCTGACCATCACTTTGGTTACTTTCCATGCTTAGAATTTTTCCGTGCTTTGTTGCCGAAGCATACAGTACTGGACAGTATTATTGCAAAAATCACAACGCATTTTACCCTTTGTCGTTGCATTGTGTTTGCATTCAATTGCACTGCGTTGGCATAGATAAAATAAGTGTTGAAAGTTTATTGTTTATTTAACGAAGGCGTGTTCATAGTCAATTCAACATCCTAGCCTAACTAGCAACGGTGTTACAATGATTATCAGTGAACAACATCGATTTATTTGGAGACCGAAGTATTAGTAAATATTATAGTAGGAATCTTCCAACATTTATTATTGTATCGTTTTCTTCTGATGCACTCGCCAGGCCTAGTTTACAACTTTTAACAATGCCAAAGTAGACTAGGCCTAGGCCTATTATTATTATTATTATTAT